TCCTCTTGTCACTGGTCAACGGACAGGCGATTGGATCTTTTAGTTCATTTTTATTTTTAAAATATGCGCCTATAAAAACTTGAAAAAGCTGTTCCATACAGTATTTATTCCAAGTATTTGTTCATCATTGCTTCATTTTAATTTTTTTCAAAATATGCATATATATATAACTTGAACAAGCTGTTCCATACAGTATTTATTCCAAGCATTTATTCATCTTTGCTTCATTTTTATTTTTTTCAAAATATGCATATATATATAACTTGAACAAGCTGTTGCATACGGTATTTATTCCAAGTATTTGTTCATCTTTGCTTCATTTTTATTTTTTTCAAAATATGCATATATATATATAACTTGAAAAAGCTGTTGCATACGGTATTTATTCCAAGTATTTGTTCATAATAGGCTTAACAGACTTTTTAGATGGAGGCTAAGACCTTTATAGAATAACATATATATGCATTATTAGGCTTTGCTTGGCTGATAATGTCTGCAAAAAGAAGGAATACTGATTTAGATTGCAGTGAAATAAAATGCCAGAATTTAAATGGATATTAACACTTTTTAAAAAGAAATACCCCTGTTTTACTTGAACCTTTTTTAAAATCCTAATAAGAGAAGCTTATCCAATATAACACCAAAATAAACACACAAAATACATTAACTTATATCAGTGACCTAATTTAAAAGGTATTTTTAATCTAAAGTGGTCTTTAGCCCCCTCTACAGCTGAATTAAAACTATCTTCTCTTCCCTTAGACTCCATCAAATGAGTTCTTGTGTAGCGCTGTTAATCAGCTGCATCACTGTGTCTCTCACAGAACAGAAATACACTCCGCTGTCTTCAGGCTGCAGCTTCACCACTGTCAGAGATCCAGTTTCTGCATCCTTTTTCTGTGCAGTAAATTTCTCTTTACTGAAACCTTGTTCATATTCATGAGGGCTGTATGCTGTAGTGAAAACTATCTGCTTCATGTTCTGACCAGGCAGCTGCTGGTACCAGTACATCTCTCTATATGTGCTGCCCTTTGTGTGACTACACTCCAACGTGGCATTGCCATCCTGATATTTCCACAGCACAGGGGTCTGGAACACTTGGTTACTCCCATCAGTATAGCCTGTGGATGAATTGAAATATAAATGTGACTTTTGATGTCTTCCAATTTTCCGTTTTACATTTTTCAGCCACAAAAATGTTAGTAAAAGTTTCAAAAAATATATATATATTTTCCGTGTTACCTGAGATGCAAAGCAAAAAGCCTAAAAGGGTGAGAAAAATATGTCTCTGCAAGATAAACTTCATGGTTTAAGCAATCTGGGTGTTCAGTCGTTGTGAGGTACAGGTGGGAAAATCATGTGATGTACATTGTGGGACATGATTTTTGTGTCTATTGGATAAAACAGAGAACATTGGTACTGGGAGGAGCCTCTTGGTATCTTATTTCACACATAACTTTTCAACAGTAGATAGTTGGATTTGTTTAACCATCAATTTTATATTCCACCCCTGATTTGATAATGTTCCCCTTAGTTTTTTTAAACCATGCCATTGTATATCTTTTACCCTCTAGATAAGTTTTAAATTTTGGATAACTGTTCAGGTTTAAATCAGCTGACATTTTTAATAGAAAAAAAGTCAATCGACTTTTTAGAAGGAGATTCTTTCACATTAAAGCCTGAGAGAAGCAAGAGTTTTTATTCAACCTCTGAAGCAATGTCGCCACTTACAGTAAGACTATTCCATTTTAGGATCCAGGTTAATATAAATGTGTATTGTAAAAATTTGCTCACTTTCAATAAAGATGTAAATTTGAAACACAAAAAACTGGATTCATTTGAAAATAACAGACATATGACAATAAAAACTTCCTTTGAAAAATATTTAGGTCCAGATTAGAGCTGTACATTTATAAAAGTTAAATTAAGGTTGTGTGTAGAAAATGTTTCTTTATCGATTTAAAGTTTCAACATAGCGATTATATTTTTAAAAAATCAAGTTACAGAGATTTTTGGCTGTGATTAACAGCTTTGTTCTAGGTTTGTCCAGCAGAGGGCGGGCTTCCCTGTTTCTAAACGGTGTTTTTAATTTGACAGCAGAGAGAAGCTCTTATGGAAAATGTTAAGGTATCAAGTAAACTCGTGAGTTTGACAATGACTATGAAGATGTAAATAAAGTCTGAATAAGCAACTAGCTAATTTCCGAAGTGGAAAGAGATGTAGCAAAACCTTTGTAAAGTGAAAGAAAATAATATATATATATATATATATATATATATATATATATATATATTTTTTTTTTTTTTTGGGGGGGGGGATTTATAAATAAAATTGGCCACATAGGATTCAGGCTGTTTTTGTAGTTTAGGAATCTCAATCACGAATTTATTTCTAATTTAGTGTATAAAGGTTGTGCAATCTAACTATTCACTTTAATTTTTCTTAAAAGTAATGGCCTCAGGATGTTTAGTGAAAAAAATATTTTTTTCAGGTCTATTTTTAAACTGGCTATTTTCCCACAGACTCTGATCTTTGCTTCTTTCTATTGATTGAACACATTCTAGCCCTTTTCCTTTCATTTTTTTACACCACTATGAAGTTCTCCTAACTGTTTGTTGATTAAACTTCAGATTCTAAAATTGTGAAGGACCAGTCGCATTTCTCCATTCATCCCTTCTTTAGTCCAGATCTTGATTTTCCGATTCTGTGAGCTTCAGATTTGGCATAGTGTTTTTAAGGTGAACTGCTAAACATGTCATTATAAACTGTGGGTGAATGTAGCACAGGAGGTTCGAGCTTGTCTCCTTCGTTCTGTTCGTCTCGGTCTTTGTGTCCTTTGGCAATATTATAACCACGGAAAAACTGGAAAAACTTGGTGGCCTCTACAAGAACACAACAAGATAATCATTTAGACATTTCTTGAAATTAACAGAGCAATGTAAACCTTTTAGAACATGTTAGTGAGAAGAGAAGGTAGCATAAGAGAGAAGTCAGGACTCTGCATCATCTAGAGGGAATGTACTATAATGACTACTCAAACTATCCCGACTCTGCATGCTCCAGGCTTTTGAGCAGTAATAAACAAAGAAAAACTCTTGTTCTTTTAGAAAATGAGGCTGTACAAAGTATTGAGAGCTGGGATACTGATAACTGTGGCAAAAGGGATTTCCATAGATGCAGTAATTTATTAAGAGGGAGGATTTAAAAAGTAAACTCAAGTATTTGGATTTTATTTTTTAAAGTGTGAAAACCTGGGAGGCCATTTAGTGTAAAAAAGGCTCTAGAATACATCTGCTAGTCAATGTTGTTACAAATGAGACTCCTACAAAGCATGTTTAACAGATCACCAATGGCTGTCATAAAGATGATCAGCTAAATAAATGGTAATATTGTTTTTGTTGATTAGAACAAACATTTGACATCCTGACTGGAAATAATATATACCATATGCTGACTCCAGATATTAAAGTGATGTTAATTAAATCTGCCTGTTGGTCTAAAAGTATCTTTATGCTCTGCTGGATAAATATTTTCCTTTAAAACAAATCCTTTTTTATTAAAAAAGAATAAAAAAAGGTTTTAAATATAGTTTTCAATAAAAACAGAATAAAAGCCAAATATGTTTAGTTTCAATGACTTAACACTCATGAAAATGTTAACTTATTATTAAGAAGAATAGGAAGTTTTGTAGAATGAAAACAAATATAAAATTGATTTAAGTTATTCTATTATCACAAATAAAAAGCAAGTGATTAATGTTTTGCTCCTCTTTTATGACATTAAAATAGAATAAAAAAATCCACTACTGGGCATTACCTGAATATTTAATTATTTTTTAAAGGAACTGAATGAAATCAAAATACAGATTAAACATGTAAACATTTTGATAGTTGCTGCTTCACAGATAGATTTTTTGTTAATCTTAAGTAGGTCAAAAAATATGTTCTTTAGTGGAAAATAGCTCTAAAAACAGTTTCCACTTAGATTTTTGGTAAGATCCTAACAAATAACATAATGTAGGATAATGCTTTATTAACAGCAAGAATGGAACTAGATAGAGTATAGTCCTTTATTTTCATCTTAATGTAAAAGTTACGTGGATTCATAAGGTTAAATTGTTGAAAAAATCTCTCAGCCTTTTAAGCATTTTATTTATTTTGTTTTATTTTTATATGCACATGATCTGGGTTCAGAAAATATGCAGAAATGCATCAACTGTAACTGTTTGCCCCAGATCGCAATAACCATCTGTTGTTTATTGTTTGTTTTATAACACACACAGGCACATGTTCAGTTTTTAGCTTCAGTTGACACAGAAAGAAGCCTGAAGCAGCTGGTTGCTAAAACATCATTTTCAAGTGTGAAAAATGTATGTGTGTGTTTGGGGGGGCGGCTGCAGGTGCACCCATTGAGCCGGATGCTGCGGTAAAAGTTGAGGGTTGCACCTCCGTCGTTTCTCTGCATGGAGACGGAGCTGCAGGCTGCTCTGCGACCACATCCTGCCCTCGCTGTCGCACTTTGCTCCTCTGCAGTTTTTCCAGCTCTCGCTGCATCTTCCTCCCCCAGCATCTCTGACCTTCTTTTGTGAACAGATGACAATGCTGACTTCCTGTTCTCATGTGGCAGACTCACTCTCACACTCCTACTAAAATGTTTGAACTAACGGGAAAAGTTCTTGTTTGGCAAAACAGAGAACCTTAATCTGAATGCCCTGAAAGTGAGATGTTTGGAGTACATGGGGACAGAAAATGAGCCGTTTCTCAGAAGTCAGCTATAATTATCTAACACTATCTGTGGAATAAGTGACGCTTTAGTAGAATTGTTTTACTGACAGTTGTTATCATTTTCAATCAGATTCTATGCTGTTTCTGAGTAATGTCTGATACAGATTAATTTAAGTTTGTTTTACAACATTAAAACATCAAGTTTAACACCTAAATAATTTATTTCAAAATATTTTTTTAAACAAGCTGCAGATAAAAAGAGAAACCAAAGAAATCCAAAAGTGTGTAAAACAATTTTATTAAACAGCACATAGAGAGAAACAAGCATTTACTTAGAAAGTATCTGAAATAATAAAAAATGTTTTTTGTATACCACTCATTAGATCTGTTATGTAAAATGAAAGGGCTTTATAGAATAACATCAGATCAGGTTTATTATGTACAGGGAGGAAGAGTTAAAGCTTCAGTTGAGCTCTCACTTTCTCTGCTTTCCACGTTTTCCCTGGAAAACAAAAGAATATTGTCCCTCAGTGTCAGAAGCTCTCTATTACTCACAGGATGGTTAGGTCAGAACCAACAGGGATGTTTTGGACAGACCTGAAGCTTCCACACCAGGAAGCAGACGAAGGCTCCGTAGACGCAGCTCTTCACGATCAGGACGGTGTAGGACACTTTGGCGTTCTGGGTGACCCTCATGTAATACCCTGCAGGGAGTCAGAAGGTTTGGTTAAACAAACAGATCAGTTAATTTAGTCCCATCAAGGTGCTGAAGGCAACATTTTATTTGCTTTTAGAGTGAGGAAGAGGGAAATGTTGCAGTTTACCTCGAGTGATGGCTATCTCATTAGGACGAACTGGAAGAATTGAGAGTCAACATGATAAGACATTAATAATGATGACCTAAAATAATAGATCTAGGATAATTATGTGTTAAAGGAACAAACCTGTAATGGTATCACTGTAAGGAAGGTGATGAGTTCCATTATAGAATTTGACGATGCAGGTATATTCATTATTTGGATCAACCCAGTCCTCCAGAGGGATCTTCAGCCTGCTGGAGATTTTGTATTTCTCTCCATCTTTCTTGGCTGCAGGGTCAGTCGCCACACCATTAGTGATTTCCCTTCCATTGCGCTTCCAGGACACGCTGACATGATCTGGGTAGAAATCAGAGGCAACGCAGAGCAGGGTCCTCTTCTTCGTCCTGTAATAATCTCTGCATTCCTCTCCAGAAGGGTAGAAAACTTTCACTGTAGGATATGCTACGTCATGCTCTGAAAGAAGAAAAAAATCAATAAATTAGAGCTGCAATCGCCCAAGTTATGATATTAAGGTGTTATAAAAAGGTTAATCGACATCTAACAACATCTGTACAACACCTGAACTAATAACAGACTATCAGCTCAATAAAGAGGTTCCAATAAAATGGAACTGCTGTCTTTGAGCTTTTATCTCTTTCACAAAAGGCTTAGGATTAGTTTAAATTTAATTGCATTATGAGAAAAATGTCTTAAAAGCAAAGAAAAACATTTATACTAAAAATTGACAAGTTCATGGTATAATTTGCAACCATGTGAAGATGATTATTATCTAAAAAAAAACACCTTAATTACAGTAAATAGTTTTCACTATAATTCAAAAGAATTTGGTTTGATTCTACTTGATCTTAATTTTTTATTATTTTTTCATAGCTGAGACCCTTTTGAATATTTTCATTTCTAAAACAAAGCAGAACTTTTCCGCTGCTCATTTTTTCTCAGAAATGACTGTAATATCTTTATATTTCTGAAAATTCATGCATATCAATAAAAACAGTAAAAACATCCTAAATATTAATAAACTTAACAGAATTTTACATGCTGGGATTGAAATTGAGGGGTGGAAACAGTTTCTAAACATTTGGTCTGTTGTTTACTCTACCTTGTTCCCTTTTGTTTAATACTCTATTTTGTTTTGATGTTTGATTTCATGTTTGAATTTCACAATGATTCTGAATGTTTCTGCAACTTTAAAACTTAAAATATATATATAAAGTTATAAAACATGAATGAATGCAGAAATAAAAATAGAAGAGGAAAAAAATAAGCACAAATATCATCTACCTTTTCATTCTTAAACAGACTAATCCCAGAATTATGAAATTAACACAACCACATATTTACACATCAATACACTAATTATAGCAATATTACATAGGACCGTTAGTTTGGTTCCAGCTCCAAATTCAGCAGGACATGAGCCGGAGCTCAGCTGCTGTTATAAAACTGATTTAGGTCTAGGAGGTCTGAAATTCTCCATAACTTTGTTTTAACAATACAAATTCTCCAAGTTTGTACTTTGAAGGACCAACAAAACAGATGTTACTAATTGAGCTTCCTCTAGTTAAAGTTCACCAGATCCGTCCCTAGATCAATTTAGTTTTAGTCATATAGTTTCATGTTTCAATTTCAAGCTAAAGATTTATGGCAACATATCAAAACTGTAAACTTTGAATTTGTTTAGTATTCAGTTTTGCAAATAATAAAGTTGGTGAATTTCTTGATTTCTTACCTAAAACTGTGAGTTTTGTGCCTCGACCAAAGTAAGCAGGATCATAGTTGGCCACACTGAGAAACAGCTGCAGATAAAGCTGCTGAAGCTTTCAGTGCTGAGAGCTAAATACTGTTTTTTCTCTTCTTTTAACTAAAGCTGAAATACAAGGCCAGGATTTTTGGCCTCTTTGAGAAGATTTAGATAAATAAATTATTGGTAGTAATCAAATACTTCGCACCACACAAAACTTTGCATCTTCTACTTCTGACTAATTTTTTTTTCTTTCTAGAACTCTTCCTCAAAGGGAAATTAAAGAGTTTTAAGAGTCTGTTTTCTTACCTAAAACCGTGAGTTTTGTTCCTTGACCAAAGAAAGCAGGATTATAGCCGCTCACACTGAGAAACAGCTGCAGATAAAGCTGCTGAAGCTTTCAGCAGTGCAAAGCAACAACTACTTTGACGTATTATATTTCTAAAAATCTGAACCCTTTGTGCACAAGAAGTTGGCATCAAGACAACTATACAGAAAATTATTCTTTTGGCCTGTTCATAGACCTTAAACCATTGAAAAGCTTTCATTTCATTTTCATTTCATTTTTTTTTTTTTTACTTACCAGTCCCTCTTTAAGATGAATTTATTTTTTTTAAGTGAATTTTCTTTGTTTCTTACCTAGAACAGTGAGTTTGGTGCCTTTGCCAAAATAAGCAGGGTTTAAGTTGTTCAAAGTGAGACATGGCTACAGAAAAAAACTACAGCTGTAAAAACTAAAGACTTTCTTTTTTCTTCTGTTTCCAACAACTGACCTTTCTGTGCAAACCAGCCCAGAGTGGCATCATAACAGTACAGAAGAGGTTGATTTATGTAAACATGAGCCTGAATTAATGGATTACTGGTGATTTTAGGAAAATAAAAGCACTGCATACACAATCCATTACTGAAAGCTTCTCCCACTGCAATCTATTTGGCCTTACCTAAAACGGTGAGTTTAGTTCCAGCTCCAAAGTAAGCTTCAGAATTGGTCGTCACAGTGTTTCAGAGAGCTGATAAAAACTGGCTGACAGACTAATAATCTGGGCTTTGAGCCGAACATTTAGTGGCTGCCCATATCCGACTGGATTACATGGAAAGTGCTTTCAGGATAAGCTGAATTCATGCATTAGGTGTCTGTATTTCATATTTCAGTTTTCTCTTACCCAAAACAGTGAGTTTAGTTCCAGCTCCAAAATAAGCTTCGCTGCTGAAGGAGCACAAAGACTCCAGGCTGCAACACAAACTCTTCCTACAGCTCTACGAAAGATTCCGACTTTCTTTCTGATTTTTAAGATCTTTTCAGGACGTCTCAGAACTTATTACACACAAATAACTCAATGATTTGTTTCCACAAATCTGTTTAGCTTCACTTAGCATTAATATTATTACACTAGGTCTGAGCATTTTAACAGCTTTAAAGTTCTATTAGTATTTATCATACTGGTCGAGCTGTAAAGCATGTCATACTATGCAGTCATTTAGATGTGGAAACAGTTTCTTACCTAAAACAGTCAGTTTAGTCCCTCCACCAAAGATAGCTTCAGACATGCTCGCACAGTGAGCTGAATCCGTGCTAGAAACAGCTCAACAGGCTGATTTCCCTTTGCTCTTCTGTTTATTTTAAGGTAAATATGGTTATTTCATACCACGCAAGACTGAAAAGCTCATAAAGCTGGATGTTAGTCCTCTATACAGACAGAAATGACCCCTTTATCCAGTTAAACAAGCAACTTTCTGACATAGTTCGAGTTTATCAGGTAAAGTAGGACGAGTTTGTTATTAATGCCTTTTTTTGAACGTTTCTTACCTAAGACATTCAGCTTTGTTCTTGCCCTGAAATGAGGCAAAATAAGCTTCTCTGTCAGCACAGAGCTTCAGCTTCTTATCAAGAAAACATTGAAAATAAAAGTAAGCAGGTTCTCCGTAGTTCACAGTGTTTTCAGCTCAACTCAATATATTAAAATGTTAAAACTCAACAACTTTTCTTTCTAGTTTGATTCAAAGGAAACTTTTGATGAAATCTAAACCAACTGAGCATGTTAGAAGTCCAACTTACCCAAAACAGTGAGTTTAGTTCCTTTTCCAAAGTAAGCTTCAGCATTGTCACAGTGCAGCAATACTGAACATGAAGTGTTTTTCTACCACAATTATCTTTACAAAGACCTTCAGAGACAGATTATTCTGGACCAAATTTTTAATCAAAGCAGGATCCATTAAAACTGTATTAAAGTGAAATATTTACCTAAAACCGTCAGTTTGGTTCCTCCACCAAAATAGGCAGGTTGAGAGCTGGTCACAGTGCTTTAACTTCAGGTTAATACATCACAGCTTTCTCCTGATATTTGTTCTCTATTTTAATTTAAAATTTAAATCTAATCTGTTGAACTGAACTTGTTAGAAGTCCAACTTACCCAGAACTGTTAGTTTTGTTCCTTTTCCAAAGTAAGCTTCACTTCCAGTGTCACACTGATTCTCTCGTTGACTAAAAAGTCCAAAATCTTTCCAGAATCAACTTCTTCAGACATGCTGTAATAACACAGATTATCAGGAAGGGTTAAACCTGCAGGATGAGCTTCATAATGTTTAAAGAAGCTGTAATGTTTTAGATGAGGAACCCATGATCCAAACGCTCCACAAACAAAGTCAAACATCTCTTTCTAAAACATGTTTCTGATCCAGATTCTACATATTAGATCGGTTTTTAAG